ATATGGAGAATCCATCTTTGTGTGGAGTTCCTCTTCCAACAAAATGCCCCGTAGATGACACTTTTACTGCTACATATGCAAAACCCAATGATGAAGATGGAAATAATAAGTTGTGGTTCTATGTCAATATGGTACTTGGCTTTGTCGTGGGCTCTTGGGGCATTTGTGGCACATTAATGGTAAGGAAATCATGGAGGTATGCCTATTTTCGATCATTTGACAACATCAAGGATAAGGTGACACTAGTAATTGTGTTGAAGGTGGCTCGTTTGCAAAGGAAATTTCATGATGTTTAGCAGTGCACTATAATTTAACCAGAAATAATTAAAAAAAAGTGATGCTTTCTATATACGCGTGTTTTGTTATTGAAGATATCAAAACTCTTAATTATTTTATTTTCTTACTGAAGATAACACTCATACCTCTATGTTAAGCCTCCATTTATGATATTCAAATTAGTCTAGCTTTTTCATCCGGATTCATTTCAACTCCAATTCGAATTTGATTTGAAACAAAATTCTTGAAGTCTTAAGCTCTACACAAATAAATAAAATATAGTCACAAAAACTCTTGTACCTAATTAGATAACTAAACTCAAATACAACCACTTGCACTTGCAGCAGACAAATCCCCCAGGCAAAGCAATTCTTTAGACGACAGTCTTTCTTGGGGTCCAGTAGGAGCACGTCCTGTTTACTATCTGGCTACCACACCTTTATTAGTTTGAATTAGTCCTGGCTTCCCTTAGGCTCTACAATCCAAATACATTAGAAAAATAAGTCTTTCAGCAAAGACTAGACCAATTTCATCACTTAAGATTGATAAAAAGCAGCAAGATTAATGACAAACCAGCCGTTTGAATGATCTACTTTGAGCAGCATTCTTTGCATTCTCCATACCAGGCTTAGCACGATCAAGAGCCTGAGACAAAAAAGAGTTAAAATATAAAGATATTTATCTCAAAGCTATTGTTCACAGTACAACCCAGGTAAAATATAAAGAGACCAGGATAAGCATGCTGCATCTTGTCAACTCAGAGTTTCATGTCATGGTTCCTGAAAACTTTTTAAAATCTCAAGTTAATCATGCATTTGGG